AGTACTGTTGGGTTCTCTTGCTTCTGTCTACATCTCACGCCAGACGAGTTCAACAGGGACAGACCCAGAGAGGGAAAGCTCCCAGCCCCTGGTCTGCGCAGCTTTCTGTCTTCCACAAACACACAGACATGATTACCTCTTCATGTCGGAAAACCTGCTTGGGAAACTGTTATGCACAAGTGGAAGTAAAATGGTGTCTGCAGGCAGAGGGGCATCTCAAGGTGGATTTGGGGATAGTCTGCTTTTCCTCGAGCAGTTATAATTTTGTAAAATACTCTGCATGACCTACAAATGCTGCTTATTCTGTGGGGTTAGCTAAGTGTGAGGAGCTGTGTCATCTGCAGTTGGTACCTCTCCACTGCCCAGGCACTGCCATGTTTTGAGCAACTTCTGCAGCTTTATCCTGCAATTCTGGGAGTGCAGCCTGGGTGCTCCCTTGGTGGTTTTAGCCTTGGCTTTATCACAAGAAGAGAGATTAGATGGCAGTGGTGGCATATCCAAGAAGGATGTGGACTGTGCAAGCCAATGTCATGTTTCTGACTAGGCTGGTGCCTGTTTCTTAATGGGACATTCAGGAACATGTGAAGTGAAAGCATTAGCTGGATGTCTGTCCTGTCAGAGAGCAGTGTTAGGAAGGGGAAGTTTTATGCATTTTAAAGGGCCTTAAGCAGTTCTGAACCATTAAAGCTGCACGGGAAAGGGAGCTGTCCCTGCTGTCTTGTGACCAGAGAGGTCGATAATAACACCAAGCCTGCATTGCCAGCTTTATGGTGCATGCATCCCGCTGGCTGCCATGTTGTGACTGCTGTCCTGGACCAAACCCAAAGAAAACCTTCTCTTGCTGCTTCTTTGTTCAGTTGCTTTCTCCATTCAGACCCATGACCTTGTCCAGTCAGCACCGTCCCCAGTGAACATGATCGCTGCTTCTGTGGATTTAATGAACTTTCCAGTTCTCTTCTGCACACAGCTAAGTAACATCGCTGAGCTGCACGCCCTGCTTATGTGTATTCGTTTGTACATACTCCCTTTATTGATACTGCTCGCAGGAGTTGCAACCAGGCATGCCTACCAAAGCAGCAAAAAAATACTCTGTGAGTTTACAACACAACTAGAAAACTTACTTGCAGGTAAAAATAGTATTTAACCTCTCTTCTTAGTAGAAGCAGGTTTATGACTTTGCTCTGTCTCATTTGATGCATTTGTCTTCCTATCCCCTGCTAACTTTGAGCTCTTTGACCAAATTCAGCCAAACTTAACAGAAGAGCAGAGCTCTCAAAAATTGCTGTAGGTTTCAGGAAAATGAGCAGCCAAGAGGAGAGAAGTCCCGCTGGCGTCCCCACCAAGTGAAAGGCTGCAGTACGACATCCACCCAAATTGGACACTACCTGTGAGGGAAAAATAAATGCCTCTCTCCCCAGGAAAAGCTCACATCCCATTTAGATAGTAGCGAATCCAACCCTGAGGAAACAAGGCTTCATTAGTGTCATTGCCCAAGGAATTACTTAATTAAAGGACAACAGAATTGAGAGCATTGTTATGTAGGCCTTTGTTCCTTACACCTGGTCATTTCCATTGATGTAAAATGTCATCTTTCTGATCTGGTAGGATTTTGTGCCCACTTTAGACAAGTATTCCTGACCAGCTGAGGAGGTGCAGAGCAGGGAAGAATCAGACCTTTATTACTGAGGTAATTACAGCCTCGCCTAACCATCAGGCAGGAGGTGTACACCTCTATTAGCCAGAGCTCCCACAAAGAGAACAAAGGGTGGCTGGAAAGTGGGAGCCACCCGAGGAGCATCCCTGTGTCAGGCTACACCACTCTCAGGCGGCAGACATGCCAGGGAGGTGATGACCACAAGCTCCCACATCGCCCAGCCTCATGCTTGTTTTCCTGGGTTTAAATCCAACTTGACTTAGTGATACTGGTGAAGGCCATGAAATGGGGACACTAAAATGAGGAATGGTACCGTAACTGAGGAAATCAGTTAAAATGCTAAAGGAGGTAGGGCGGGTACCTTTCAAAGCTTGTCTCAGCAACTAGCCTAATTCTGTTTTCAAAAGCCACTGGTGAGTGCTTTTGAAAATTTTATCCTAGATGTTTGGCTCAAAGACCTTAACCAAAGATTTTTCTTTTCTCTATCTATTATACAAAAGCTAAATATAAACCAACGTTATTGAATAGAACCCTAACAAAACCGCTGTTGCAGATCTAGAAAAACCTTTACTCAGAAAATCAAGTTGTTGGGGACCACCATCTAAAGTGTCCTTCGGTTTTGGATGCCTCTCGTTTTGCATACACAATTTGGCATATAAAAAATGTTATTTCTAACTTCAAATATTTGCTTTCTGTTTTTTTTATCACCTCCTATTTGCCTTTTGTTCTCCCGCTCTCAGAAAATCATGACCTGAGTGTCTCCAGATGGGTAGCTAAAGTTGCTTTTGAAAACATGGATTAGTCTATTTTACCCATACAAATACGTGCATATGTGTGTCTGCTGTT